AAAGAGTCTTACAGACTTTCCTGCATGGTCTGGCTTTGAACCATGATCCTCAGATCTCAGCCTCCTGAGTAGCTAGGATTACAGGCGTGAGCCACTGGCACCTGGCTTCCATGAAACTTTTATTTCTAATTAACCACCAAAGCATTGTAAGTGGTAGAGCTATAGCTCAAGTGGTAGAGTGCTAGCCTTGAACAAAAGCCTCAGGGACAGCTCCAAGGCCCTAAGTTCAACATCTAGGAAAAAAGTTAATAAAAAAAAATTCCTTGAGTGTCATGCTGAGAATGAAAATAGGGCCTAGAGCAGGCCAGGCCAGGGCTAGACTACAACAGCCATGGCCAAAGTCTTTCAACCAGTAAAAACAATTCCAAAGATTAAAAGAAAAGAAAATGGCAATATCTCCACTGTGTCCAAGGAGACAGAGTTTTGTCCAGGGCTGGGTGGGAATTCTGCAGTAAGAGCAGTGCCCTGCCCTGGGGGCCCTGCCATCTATTTAGGGCAGGAGTCTCCCTACCAGCCACTGGGGGCACCTCTAATGCTGATGGATCAGGTGGGTGTGGGCCAGATGGACAGGAGTGATGAAGGGGAAAGGAGGGATCAGGAGTGGGGGAGGGCAGATGGGGAGGGAACAGAGGAAGGTGTGAGAGAGGCAGGGACAGGCAGGTGCTCACCTGAGTGAATGTGAGCGTGCAGTTTGAGGTAGTGTTCCCGCCGGAAGAACTTCTTGCACACCTGGCATTTGAACCTGCCCCCGCTGCCATGGGTGGGGAGGTGACGCCGCAGGTAGCGTTCACAAGGAAACACCTGGAGGAGAGAAACGCTGTCTTCCAGTCTGCTGCACCAGATTTCCTTTCCAGCCTCCCTTCCCTTGCAGCCCCATTTCTAGCCCCTATAAAGACCGCTCCCCTTCAGCCCATGGGGTCAGACCTAGCAGCAATCAGTACTCATGAGCCCACCCAAAGCACCCCCAGTCTGCACTCTGGCCAGGCCGTTCTTTCTACTCAAAAGGGCTTCCTCTCACAAACTCCTATCTGTCCTTCAAGACCCATCCCCCGTGTCTTTGCCTCTGCGAGGCCTTCCCTGATTCTTGTGGCTATGCTGAACAAAGCAAATTCTGTCTTTGAACTCTCACCCCAACATTAAGTCAGCATTCGATCCGTGGAACTACAGTTATTTGTTTTCAGGGGAACCCTAGGGCAGAGGAGGGCTGCCATTCTGCAGAGTATAGGTCAAAGGCCTGACACATAAAGGAATGGATTATTACTGTTATTTTGTGTGCAGATACTGAGGCTTGAACTCAAGACCTCATGCTCTTGCTTTTTTTTTTTTCCACTCTAGGTTGGCACTCTACCACTTGAGCTACACTTCTACTTCTGCCTTTTTGCTGGTTAGTTAGAAAGAATACACACACACACACACACACACACACACAGCCTTCAAACTGCAATCCTTAGATCTCAGCCTCCTGAGTAGTTAAGATTACAGGCATGAGCCACAAGCACCTGGTGAAAATAGATTTTTTAAATAAGAACTAAATAAATGAATGGAAGATAACGAAGAGCCAGAAAACACAGAAGCTAAACTCTGTCCAGCACAGGCACAGGGTAGGTATTCACTCATTCATTTATTCATTCATTTTAATCATTCCCTTGAAATAGAGACCTGATCAAGGGCACAGACTTATTTGTCTCTTTCCTTAGAACCTTCCTGTAGGACCATCTCAGGTAAAATGCTCAAAACAGTAATTGGCATCTGCTTCTCACACAATCCATGGCACTTTTAAATTCCAAAGCCTAAAGTTAGGCTATCTAATTGGAAACATCTAGAATGAGGCCAAGTAAAGCCAGGGCTGTCCTGGAAAATCTTCCATGTATGGTTGTTAGAAAATGAGGAGCAGAGATCTAAAATATAACTGGACATAATCTATACAGGACTCCAAGCACTCACACACAGACTAAAGGGGAATACCTTTAGGAGAGGGGTCCAAAGGTATAACTTCTCGGGCTGGGAAGGTGGCTCAGTGGTAGAGTGCTTGCCTTGCATGCATGAGGCCCTGGGTTCGATTCCTCAGCACCACATAAGCAAAAGGAAAAAAGCCGAAAGTGGTGCTGTGGCTCAAGTGGTAGAGTGCTAGCCTTGAGCTGAAGACCTGAGGGACAGCGCCCAGGCCCAGAGTTCAGGCCTCACAACCGACCAAAAAAAAAGGTATAACTTCTCTGAACATTGGGCTGGGAAGGTGGCTCAGTAGTAGAACACTTGCCTTGCATGCTCAAGGCCCTGGGTTCGATTCCTCAGCACCACATAAGCAAAAAGAAAAAAGCCAGAAGTGGTGCTGTGGCTCAAGTGGTAGAGTG